CTGTTAGGTTTCTTTCTTTTTCTTCATCTTCTTAAATTGGAGAGGAGTCACTGTCCAAGTGAAATAATGTGTTGATTTCAGACTGGGAAAGATCCATTCAAGTGTCGGTAATGATAATGAAACAGTTGAAAAAGCAAAGGGGGAGTGAAGAAAGGCAGCCAGCGAGGTGGGAGGGGAGAAAGGGAGATGTGTTGAACTGGAGCATATGGATAAATGTACCATAAATGTATTTTAAATACGTAGCCATTTATTTCCATTATTAAACAATGGAATCCAAATTAATTGGATCATTAAACAATGAAGGCAAATTCCTAATCAGGGTGTTTTTGAAAGAAAATGAAATCCCAGAAAGACACAGGGAAATCTAATCTAAAAAAAAAAATTCTGGAATAAGACAAAATAACTTCCTTTTAATTTTCCTTTCCCCTTATCCCAACCTGCCCCTTCTTTTTAACACACATGTGTTTGTAAGATAGACAGAGAGATATCAGGTCTCAAAGAAAACAGCAATGTAAATTGTGCTTGTCAGAAGAATGTAAATTGTGCTTGTCAGAAGAATCCATCTGCCCTCTCTCCTTCTGAAGAAGAAGTGTACAAAAACTTATACCTGAAATAAAACATTGCTGGTCTTAAAGGAGCCCCGGGGCTCTCTCTTGCTCTGTGGATCCCCCTCCCTTCTTCCCAAAGGAGGAGCCCTCAGCCAAAGGAGAGAAGGGAGGCTTGGCTTGGAAGGAAACAGGAAGCAGCAGAGGGAGCTAAGCAAAAGTGAGCTGTGATGCAGCAGCAGCTCCAGAGAAGGACGCAGGAGCAAGCGAGTTGCTTGCAGGCTGGATACTAGCACAGAGAGATATCAAGTCTCAAAGAAAACTGCAATGTAAATTGTGCTTGTCAGAAGAATCCATCTACCCTCTCTCCCTCTGAAGGAGTTGCTTGCAGGCTGGATACTAGCCCTGCAGGGGCCAGATCCTGCCCACAGGCTGTATGTTTGACACCACTGTTTTATGGTATATTTTTATTCTGTAAGCTATCTTCAGTTTGGCTTGTCTGAGTAAAGGCAGCTTATGAATATTTTAATATTAATAATTACAATGTTGCAAAGCACGGACAGATGCAAGGGACAGAGAATGGAAGAGAAGAGGGACGGTGGGAAAGAAAAACAATTTGAACAGTGCAGTTGTTAGACCACTTTCTTAGGAATAAATCCCATTGAATAGACATAAGTAAGGTGGGGTGTGCATAGACCTACATGGTCAACTGGGAAAGACAACACCTCCCCATCCAGCTACACTTCTGTTTCTCACCATTTAGACATCTTCCATATAGATCTTCAGTAAATTCCTGTTATCCTATCTGTAATTTCTCTCCAATCTATTTTTTGTCAGCGTTATTCAATTTCTCATTCACACTTTCTCCTTTTTTTTTTAACCTAACACCACTAAAAGCTTTCTTTTTCTTTGTTTCTTCTAGTCTCTTTTAATTTGGTGGGGTCTGTGAATGTCTCATAAACTCAATGAATGTTTATGCTGAGCTGTAAATATTAAAGTTTTACAAATGCTATTAGCCTAATTGGTAAGGGATCTCCTGAAGCTGCTGCTGAAACATGGTGACTTCTCAACTCTGTTCCCAGAAACACATCCCTTTTCTTTCAATGTTTTTCAAGTGACTGATTATCAAGCTCTAATGGTTTTACTGTTCAGACAGGGTGTGATTGCATATGTGTGTGTGCAAGTAAGGAATAGACCCAGTACATTTAAATGTATGTTTAATTTATCAAACTCAGGAAAAGGTTTTAATTAGACGTATGTCTCTTACCATCCATTACTCATATACCAACTGTGGGATGTTATACTGATGATTTATGTACATTACCATATTCTGACAGGTACTGCCTAAAAGGGTGTAATCCTGCAAATGCTTGCTCTGGAATAAAAGTTTCACAATTGACAGCAAGATGCTAAAAATAGCTCAGGAAAGAAGAGCTGAGAGTGATCAACCCGTGACAGAAAGAGCACAAGCGGGCCATGCGCCAACATCACATAGTGATGGAGCCTTCTGCCCGGAGTCCACCCAAAGATAGGCTTTGCCCGGCTGTGGTGGGTAAACCCTCACCTCCAATCCCCCATCCTCAAAAAATTGAGGAGCGGAAGAAATAAATTAAAAAATGGCTGTGAAATGGCCTCCGTAGTGCCCAGGGATTCTGCGAATGTTGCCATGAATACCTTTGACTGTCAAATTTACCTTGTTCAAAAGTGCCAATCAGATGTGAACCAATAACAACACCGCCAGTTCGTGCTAAGTAGCCACGAACACCTGCCGAACCAATTTGCATTGGGTTTCCCAAAAACCGAGCATGTGCAAAGACGCTACTAGTTCAAACTGGCCATTAGTGTCTCTAAGGACTACTGAAGCAAACACCAAAGTGCAGGATTTTATCAAACCACAGAATTTTATTAACTGGGTTACATGATTTGTGAGTTGTCTGTTGATGTAAACAATCAGCAGTGAGCCAAGCAGTTACACAGAAAGGATAGAGTGACTAGTAGGACTCAACTGGGCAATGTGAAAGCATGCATGCATGCATGAAAAGCCAGTCAAGCTGTACTGCATGGTCAACCGTGA